TCAATTCGCTTTTTTCATACAAGATTTGTACCAGCAGCTGAAGCGAGCAGAAGAAGACTTCAAGATATTGCACAATCCAGACAATACATTAGAAGTTTATCGTGGTCAACTTATGTCACGTGAGGAAATTGAGAAGTTCAAAGAAGATGATGATTTCTTAATCAACAGCTTTTTCTCAACTACACTTGACCGTAAAATAGCATTGTTTTTTATCAGTTTAACAGATCCAAAAGAAGGTTTTGAAAGAGTATTACTGGAGATTAAAATTGATATTAAACTTCACACTCGACCTTATGCTGATATTTCAAAGCTACATTACTGCAAAGGTGAATCAGAAGTATTATTTATGATAGGAACTAAATTAAAATTAAGATCGAAAAAGCCTTATTGGAATGAAAATGAAAAAATTTGGATTATTCAACTGGAATTATGTCCAATTCAACAAGATTCAGAGAAAAATAAAGTTCCAGATGAAAGTATGAGGAAATCCTTAAAGAAACATGTTAATAAATTACTCAATCCTTGGTTATACGTGGTACTTGAACCCAAAGATATGCAAGAAATATTTAACGCGTTGGTTGATTTCTATCCTAATGAAACATGGATTGATGCTACTCGCATTCATTGTCAAGCCAAGATTCTTCAATGGCGATTTGAAAACTTTTATGAAGCTCTCGAACTGTATGACGAAGCATTGTACAAATGGACGCTATATTTAGAAGACGAAGAAATTGATTGTATGGCAGATATAGCTGAACTGGAAGCCAATTTTGCTGAATGCTATCGTGAGAATACAATGTTCGCTAATATGCATTATGACAGTGCTATTAGTTATTACAAATTAGCGTTAGAAAAAGAGACCAATCAGGAAGAAAAAATGAATATATATTATAAGATGAGTTCAGTGTACGAAGCCAAGATTCAAGCTTGTTCTTATGATGAAGATAATGAGAAAGACCGTGAGGAGAAAGTAAGTACTGGTTGCAATGCAATACGTCATCAAGAACACATTATTGAACAGTTATCAAGCCAACACCCAATTAATGAAGAGAAAATTGCTCAAAATAGATTAGTATTAGGAAGCTTTTGTTGGCTAATTGATAAATACGATGAAGCTATCCAGCATTATAGTACAGCTTTGGAAGTTTTTTTGACAAATGTCGATTTGAAGGGGCATTCGACTGTATTATCACGCACATTAGAACGATTGGTCAATATGTATGTCAATCATAAACATGATTATCAACTTGGGCTCAAATATCAACTAATGATGCATGAATATATTCTGAAAGAAAATGTAATAGATGAAACAGATAATCAATATTGTCGTGATAGCAAGAAATATTCTATAGCTACGAGTCACATGAAATTAGCTGATATTTATGCTCAATGCCAACTCTACACTGAAATGAAAGAGCAGTTGTTAATATCAATGAGGTTACGTCAAGAAACTTCGAAAATTAATACAGAAAAAATTGCTGATATTGAAACGAAATTGGTTTATATGTACATTAAAACGAATCAACCTGACGCCGCATATGAACATTCCATGGTTGCAATAAACCTATACGAAGAATGTAAGAAACGATTAGAAAAAGATAAGGACAGTGACAAAGCTGCGATTTTCGAAGAAAAGATTAGCACAGTATATGAACAACTGAATATGTACGACGAGGCCATTGAAAGACTTCTGACAGCTCAAAATTTATACAAAACAGAAAGGCAGCGTAAAGAAGATGGTCTTAAAGGTTTTTTCGGCCAATATTTGGAATACAAGCGATTATATCATTTGAAGATGAAAGAAATGGATACAAATATTAAAGCAGATCAGAGGAGATTGGAGGAAATTTCAGCTCGATTAACACCAGACAGTAAATATTACGCTATGTTTACCAGTTAAAGTAAGAAGAAGTGAAAACGACTATAATAAAACGACTTTTAGTTATAATCTAAAGATGACATAAGCGTGAATCATTTCGAAAATAGATCAACATATCTCTTAACGAAGGTGAGATAAATTACCACGATATTTCAAGAAATATTCAGATTGAGGGTGTGGGTGTGGGTGTGGGTGTGGGTGTGGGTGTGGGTGTGGGTGTGGGTGTGGGTGTGGATGT